ATCTTGAGCCTTCACTTTCACTCCCTCATGACTCCTAACCGTTGCCATGGGCGGGAACAGGTGAAATGTGTTTCCAGATCGTTGTGTTCTTACAAACCCTTTATTTTACCTCCTTGCAACCCTCGCGATTTATTAAATATCGTCAAAAAAGAAAGAAAAAAGATTACACACTTGGGATTAAAGTGTGTAAAGCTCTTATGTATGCTCTCATCTGCTCTCCTTTTAATTAGTCATCTTAATATTGTGATCCTTTTCAGTCTGAAATATTTTAGTTCCAGTTTATTTGGGGTTCCCCTGCAGAAAATCTGCATTTTACATGCCTGGAATTAATTTTGTTTATCTCACTCTCTCTCTCTTTCTAAATCTGCTCACACATTTTTCTGTCCCGCCCACTTCCCTTTATCTTCTCCTCCCCTCCCCATCGCCTCTCCCCGTCTTTTTCCCCTCTGCCTCAGCACTCGTAGGCTTAAGAGAGGAACGTACCACACGAGCCACTCCCTTCTGACTCTCACCCCTCTTCCCTCAGCATGCATGGTACAATCCTGCTTTGCATAAGTTTCCTCTGAGTGGGTCGAGTGTGGAGGCCAGTACTGAGGAATTATTAGTCCCTTTCGAGCGCTTTGGATGTATTTGTAGAGAGAAGGCCAGTGTGTTGCTGTAGTGTCACTTCATCTCTTCAATAGTTAAAGCTAGAATGTATTGCGCCTACTCTGTCCCTGGAATGGGCAGTAACTCTTTAATGTATTACTACAACGGGAAATCGGTGAGTTGTCTCTTTGAGAATGTGTGTGTATTAGACAGAGAAGAGCTGGAGAAGTGTGTGTGTGTACTGACTGTCCATCTGACTGTCTATGTGTCAGTAAGTTATTTATTTATTTCAAGTTCAAAGCACTGCAGTCCTGTGTGTAACGCATGTGCTTTGAGGATTCTCTCGTTCTGATTTTCCATGACATCAGTTTAAGCTGACTGACACAAAATTTAATTTCAATGTGAAACAAGTGTCTCAACTGTAAAACTTGTGCAAATCCAGCTGTGAAGGCACTGGTAGTTTTTTAAGCTCCATATACAAAAATATTTCTGCCATTAGGGAAAACTTTTCCTCCACACACAGAATGAAACGCTGGGCACAAAGTTTTTTCGTTGCCTTGAATTTATTTTTACTGGCTGGGTGCTTGAGCTCCGAGACAGGGCTGAAATAATAACAAGTGGGAGTCTGGGAATGATTAAGGGAAAGAGGCTGCCTGTTGAGGTTAGACTTTCCTGTTTGCAGATTGAGCTCCAAGCACCAGTGTTGCTGTTATTCCATCTGTATTCAATCACATCTGCATTCTTCACACCACAGGGAGCCTAATGGGATTTCTGAACTTCTCTGTAATGACCGCTTTGATTTTTGTTAGTCTGAAAATGTTTTCTGCACCAGAACTTTTTCATGTAAATCTGTGAACCATTTTGTGTGTGTGTGTGTGTGTGTGTGTGTGTGTGTGTGCGTGTGTGTGTTTGTATTTACGTGTGCTGCACTTGGACTTGATCTGTTTCTTCTGTCTGGAGTAGTGGTATTGATGTGACAGGTTGTGTTTCAAAAAGTTTGGAAGAAAAAAAGAAATCCTCCTCTTTTTTTGTGTGGAATGTTATTGATGAAACACATCCCAAGGGTTTGTGAATCTGCTTGAGGACCTGGTTTTGAAAAAGGCTTAATGAAATCTGTTGTGTATGTCAGTAATCCTGAAGTAATGATCCTGTCATAAGCAAATGGCACAGGCAGATTTCCACCTGTCTTTGCATGTGCTGCTTTTGCTCTCACATAAAAAGGGCGTATAAAGGAAAAAACAAGCCTTTTGATGATGTTGAATTGAAAAGGTCACCCTACTCAAGCTTGTGTTTTAACTTTTCTTAAAATCCTGTTCCAGCGTTTCATCTTTGTTCCCTCTGCACAAAAATGACTTTGATCTCTTTTGTATTAAGTATTAACAGGCTTGTGTTACAGTTGGTGATGGGGAGAAAATTGATCGCATGTGGACAGAGCGGGCAAACTGTACGATCAAAAGCACTGGTTAAACTAGCACCAACTTTGTCCCTTGTTTTTCACTTTTTTCCTTGTTGTTCATACAGGAAAAAAAGGAAGAAAAATGTTCTTGCATCTATTCTGTCCCCATTAATTTGTTGTAATGTAGAGTTGCATAGCAGGCTCACCATCTGGAGCATTGGGAGAATTCACAGTGGGCCGTTGGCTTGCGAGCTGGTGGCACACAACCAATACAGATGGAGCAACTTGCTGATCTTTCTTTCGTTGCACATTAGTGAAAAGGAAATTAAAAAATCAAGTGAAAAGCCTTCTTCTTTGATTCACAAAAGCATGTCCTCCGTAACTGGAGAGTCATAAAATTAGACCAGAAAGTAGTAAAAACACAACAGACAGCATTTTCTCTTCGTTGGGTCATGCCTGTTGTTCTTGTTGTTGTTTGTACTACAACAGGTTGTGCCACGCTTTGTAGGGGTCAGCACTCACGGCCAGAAGCTAATCCTTACATCCCCCAAATTTGCACATGAGCTGCACATGCTCTGAAGCATGAGTGCTTGTGCAACACAAAGTTAGAGTGGGGGTTTGGCTGCATGTGTGTTGACTTTCATATACTGAATGTGTAAGTTGCACATGTTGTGAGCAGATAATGAGGTTCCAGTGTTGCCTAAACCAAATTTTTGTGGCATTACCACTTGAATGTGTTATTCTGCTGTGTGGAGGATCTATTTTTAGAGACCCTGAATACAGATTCTGTTCTGTGTGTTTTTAAACTGTGTGTTAAATGTTGCAAGGCGGCTGATGGGAATGATGACATGATAGATAATACAATTGAATATTTGATTATAACCTGTGCTGTTTAAGGTTGTGAGCTGTTTTTCCACCTGTGGTTGATTGTCTACCTGTTAACTTTAAAGTATTAACAAGTTGTTGTTTGGTTATATGTGAGCATGTACTTTGCTGTTTATACTACAGTGTGATGTGGGTACATTAAAAATGAAAGTAATTGTACAATCTATTGAAAAACAGCTTTTTTTATACAGTACATTTTATACCTTCTTTTTGTAGTACTGAGCTTTGAATTTTCCACCAAGCCCTGGTTAGTGTCTTGAACAAAGTGTTGATTAACACCCCTCCATGCTGGCTGAGGAGGCATTGTGTGTGTTGGCACACTGAGTCCTCTAAGTGTGTTACAATTGAACTTGAAACAGAAAGCCACAGAGCGTGATATGTTTTAAATTCTGACTCAGTATAAAAACAGGACTCTTGATATGATGAAGATCATATTAAAATTATTTTCCTTTTAGCTTCCTGGCAGTAAGTTTTTACATTTATTTTACTATTAGTTTACATCCATTTTACAAGTCAAAAGCCTGTGTCCTACCATTGATATTTGATATTTGCTGAGGCCACATGCTCACAGACATGGGCTTATATTGTATTGTATCAGTGGAGGCAGTGTGAGCCATGTTACAGAGCTGAACCAATGACCCACAGCATTTTTTTTAAAAGTATGGAAATATTCATTAAAGACCTGAATAAGTTTCTTTTATCACTGACTTAATTCAAGTCTTCCTGGCTTAACTATTGAATATTGTATGAACACATTAACACACATTTGTCTGTAAATAGAGGTTCTTCTTTTCTGTTGACTGTTAAAGTGTATTTTGTTTATTGTATGGTGATATTTAAAAATATATATTTTACATCATCTTAGGATATTTGAACCCTGGTGAAATCATTTTTGATAAAAGAATAAAAAACCCTGATGCTCAAACAACTGGTGCAGGCCTGTGTTGGTGTGCTGAACCGTGTGAGTGACGGCTTTTAATTAATGGCCTTGTAAAAGGAAACCCAGGCGGGGTTCCATGGGCTGGCGGAGTGAGGCACCCAGTGTTTGGGATGGTTTATTAATGCTTTGACTGGTTAGCCCAGGGTAAAAAGGGACAATTAGCATTATCTGCTGCCATATGCTGCCCATTGAGCGCCTGACAGAGGCCAAAGACAAAAGCCCGGTCTAACCTGAGATCTCCATGGATCTACTATCAACACTGGTCACATGTGTAAGCCAGAGAACCCATGAGAGCCCCACCCTTCCAGAGACTTTAATTACACTGTCAGACAACAACAAGCAGGAGTCCAGCTCAGTCAGCAAAGCCCAACAGCCCTGAGTCTCTCTTAAGATGGGTCTTTGAATTGGTCTTATGTTAACATGTGTGCTGTGTGTGTGCAGGTGAGTTATTTAGTTCATATGTGTGGCATATTTTCCATCAGCCTATTTTTGTGTGCTAAACAACGTAAGCAAGTTAACAACCTTTGTGGCCATGAACATATTTATAAGCTTTAGAAAACAATTCTTTTGAGGCATATTATAAATGTATTATTCATCCTTATAAACAGGACACAAGCTGCAAACGTGCAGGTGGAATCAGGCTAGCTGGTCTGGCTCTGATTAGTGTTACTCGACTGTGGGGTCATCCAAGCCGGTCTGTGGGAGGGAGAACTTGTTCAAACCTTCGTTCCCTTCTTCATCTGGAATAGATGAAGTCAGAGACCACATCACTGGTGTTTTGCCTCCAGTCCCTTTGATCCTCCCGTGTAGCTTGGCATTCACACAGCTGTAAAACAGCGTGCCCATTGTGCCTCTTCTTTCACTGTACCTCCTCCAGCCTGCAGGTACAAAAATAAAGGAAGAAAATGCCTCCTATGTGATTTCTGCCTCACTGGGAATGCTGTAATTTGGCAGTCATTTAGTCTATGCATGTACAGGAGTACCATTATACTTCCATTAGAGGTTGAGTTAATCTGTAATGCTAATACCCCTGATAATCTACTCTTCCCTTCATGAGCTTGATTTCGAGCTACTCATTAAAGTGTGTGTGTGTGTGTGTGTGTGTGTGTGTGTGTGTTAAAAATGTAAACTTCAGATAAGAAAGCTGTCATCTTTTTATCTTAACCAATAACACGTGTGTACTCCCTGCAGGTGTATGCACCGTCTCCAAACTCGGAGGACTTCAACAGAGATTCTCCCTCGTACTCCTCTCCCAAACCCTCCAGCAGTATGTTTGCAAGCACTTTCTTTGGTAGGTTCAAAAACAAGTATTGTTTTAACTGAGAGAGCTGTCTGCTGTAAGATTTACATATATCTTTGTCATTTATCTAAGTCAATAAAGAGTCTTTGATTTTGACTTTAAGCAGACATGAGAAGCTGCTGTTGGACACACTTGGGTTTCCATGAAACTGTAATAAACATTTTTGGCATTTAATTGTAATTTGTAAGAAATGACGACTAATCAAGCTTCTTGCTGTAGTTAGTTTCAGCCCTGGTGTTTGTATTTATGTTTAAACAGGTATTTTTTCACCTGAGTAGTACAGACCTATCTCATGATTTTGCGTTATTTAACCTTTCTATCACTTTATGTATTTCAGCGTGACTGACTCCCAGATGTAGACAGAAAATCAGACATAATTGTTGATTTTAGCTCTGTGCTATCTCAGCTGTACTCAGGACAAAGATCGTGTTTCGCTCCCATGAGCAAAACTGAAAGTGCGGTCCTTGGATGACCGTAGGTTTTAAGCTCAGGGTTAAACGTTGTGTCAAAGTCAGGGATCATGTTGTAAACGATTACATGCTAATATGATTCATTCATTATTTTTAGATGGTACCCACAGTTCATCTGATCCCTGGAACTCGTCCAACGGGATCAGTCAGCCAGGCTACGGGGGAATGCTCGCAGGATCTTCATCTCACCTGCCACAGTCAGGAAACTACAACAGCCTGCAAGCACACGACCGTTTGGTAAGCAGCTCGTGTCAGCTTTGAAAGCCATGATAAATGATGGTTAATAACTCTTTTATGCATCAGAGATCTCAATCGTATTATTATTATTAAGCACAATACAAATGAGATCTCTCTAAAAGAGAGCCCTTTACCCACACACCCCTTCTCAGTCCGAGAGGGATTGTGTGTCTTAAATTGTGGTCTGTTTATTATCAGTGGAGACCCTGCTGACCCTCTTTATGTCCCTGTTTGATCTGCTTTGGTCTGCTTCAGCTGGCTTGGCATCACAGGGAGCCTGCAGATGCTGCCTGCCTCTTCTTTATTACTGTCCCTGCCCCCTGTAACTTTAGCTTCATCGCAGCCCATAAATAAATAAAGTCATTCTATCTAAAACACACACATTTGTGATTTTAAATAGAGCCTCTGTGTTTTGTTTTGTTTTATCTCCCAGAATTACCCCACACACTCAGTCTCTCCAGAGATCAATGCCAGTCTTCCTCCCATGTCCAGCTTCCACCGGAGCAACAGCAACACTTCACCATTCGTTACGGCATCGCACACGCCGTCAAGCAACTCAGCCAACGGGGTCATGGGTACGTTTCAGTGTTAACAGTTCAGCTACCTGCTCAGAATGACTAATTCAATGGTCCTGATGTAATCATTGCTGTTTATCCATTCTGTAAAAGCGGTGAGTCAGGCAGTTTGACAGCTGCATTGTGTACCATGGCTGTTCTTCATTTGTCTGAGTTGGTGCTACAAAGCCTCCCTCTGTGTGTATTTTCTTAGCGGCTGCAAATCGAGGGAATGCCACTGGAAGCTCACAGACTGGAGACGCACTGGGCAAGGCTTTAGCCTCGGTGAGTTACAGCCCTACATTTAAAAAGGACTTCTTTCATTTTAAATGTTCAACCCTGATGAAATGGGATACAAGTTACACTTAATGGTTTTTCACCATCTCACTCACTTTGTTTTGAGCCAACAAAAAATGTTAGAAACACTGACAAGTTGTTAACCTGCCACAGTATGTATTCCAGGAAGTATAACCATACTTCTTAAAACTTGGATAGGGACTCAAACAGAATGTATTTATGGTGTTTGTACATAACATGAAACTCCTAAGAGCCCATCATAACCAGGGCAAGTCTTACTGGTACACACATTAACACACTCAATCTGGCTCAGGCAATTGCTGACGTCACAGAGGTCGCTGCTTTTCCCCTCGAGTCTGCCCTCCTATCATGGTGTTAAACTCTTAAAATGTGTAACTTGTGTGCTGTCAGACTCTGCACTCGTTTGGATTCTTCACAATAAAAACCACTGGTCTGTTTCTGTCTCTAAAGAAGGTGACCTCTGTAATCATGCAGGGAATTAAGTGCAATACTGACTGCTGATTAAAAAAGCCCAGAGGACATGTTTGTAGTTGTTTTTTGGCCTAAGCTCGGATAAATGTGGGCTTAAACTAAGAGTATTCAAGAAAGAGAATTGTGCATTGAAAATGCTCCTAAAGCCTGTGGATTACACTTCACTTAGGAGAACCAGAGCAGATATCTGTGGCATCTTGTAATGTAGCGTGGTTATTTTCTGTAGGACACAGTGGCTTAATGCTCTGTTGTTTGGATAAGACAGCACAAAGAAACTGTATCAAACAATATACTATAAAAAGTGCCTAAAAGATCATTTGGGCAAGAGACTCATTTCAAAATATGATAGATAACATTTTTTTAATTCTGCTTCATGAGAAGCATTTTTGGATTTAAAAAGTCTATAGAAGTTTTTTTTTTGTGTGCAAATTTTCCTTAGATACAGTAGCACATACATGATGCATACGTTGATATGTTCATATTGAATTTCTGGCCAGATGTTTATTTTACCCACTTTAGCACGAGCAGCACATTTAGCAGAAATATAATTAACCGGTGTGAAGCGAGAATATGAGAGTTAAGGGATGGTAATAACAAATTAAGTCTTTTATATTTGCAGACTCAGTTCTATTAGCATTACAAAGCTGGAGTGAAATGGACACGGTTGGACTGGGGTGGGGGTGGGTGTTTGGAGCGAGGGGCACAGGGGAGTTTAACACGGCTGTGGCTCAACTCCACGGGCCGCCCTTTGTAGAGCTTTTGTTCTCCGCCCTTTTAAATTGGCCGTGCCTATTGGCCCCATGCCGCCTGCAGCAGTGTAACTGATGATGAGGTGGAGCTTCATTTATTCAAGTAAAATGAGCCTTGTTTCACCCTAAATGCACCGTTATAAAGAAAGTCATATATTGTCGGGTCAGAAGTCACGGTTATAAACCTCTTTCTTTAGAGAAATAAGAATTATTCAGAGGATTGTTTGGAGTCTTACTGGTTGCAGAATATTAATCCCTCTTACTTTTTGACTGAATTGCGTGTCTGAGGGGGAAAATGCTGAGCAGAAAAAAAAACCCACTGTGCTCTCAGATTGCAGAAAATCATGAATAATCATTCCTCCTTTTTCAAAAACAGCCAATCCCTCCTCCTCCACACTCTGTGACACACTTCAGCGAAACCTCCACCCTGATACTCCAAGTTGATTGAAAAACTAAAGCCCGGAGATAAAGATTGAATAAGGAGATTATTAATAATGAGTGCGTTCTATCATCCCTGCAGAAGTCAAACGCTTTCCTGCAAGCTCAATTTGGTTTTAACTTGGACGAGAAATCTCTGTGGATCTGCAGGTTTTTTTTCCTCCGCTAATTAGTCAGCGCCCACCAGTAATACCCTGACTTCTCTGAGACGTGTTCCATTATGGTACAACATCCTCTTATTACAGGGGGAAAAAATCAGGGACGTGTTTGTCCTTTAATCCAGAATTTGTTTAAACAAATGAAATCCCTGGGGAAGTTCTGAAGAGGTAATCTCCTCATTCCCTTGTGATTGACAACTCAGTGACCTCAGTGTAACCTAGCAGAGGATGCAACATGCATCAAATAAAAGAAAAGCTTTCACTGTACTATAAAACATACAAAAATAAGATATAGCTCAATAAAAATAGATTCAGATTTCTGCTTCACTATGCAATATCTAGTGTCAGCTAATATAGAGGTCCTGAGAAGTTCTTCAGTTTGAGAGTTAAAGCTACAGAGGAATAATACTGTAGTGCAGAGGCACTTTAAACAAGTTAGAAACACTGAACTGAAAGATTAAAGTATCTTTTCACATCAGGATGAGGAATTTCACTTACAAAATGTGTCAGAAATGTAGCTACAGGTGTCTAAATGTATCCTGTTCCACTTTTCCACACTGATTTTATTATTAAGAAATGTCCATTATAGACACTGGTCTTCTTTATCTAGTTTGGTATGTGAAACCGTTTTGCTGTGTCACTCTTCATTTCACCTGAACGAGTTAATTTGTAAATATAGATGCAGTTCGTATGGGGAGAGATATTTTGATTACCAAGAAAAGTGCTATTTTAGCATATTTGAAACATGTTTGAACTTGCTAAACAATAAGATAAAGTCCATATTTGTAAAGTTTGGACTCACATACTGTCAATCAGTGACATAGTTTGAGTTGCTCTTCAGAGAGACACGACACATGTCTCTTGGTGATGATCTTCAGCCACTTAAAAAAGTGCTCACATGCACAAGACATCAAAGAGAATATTGTTTATGCTTCATTTTGTGAAGGCCGTGCTCTGGGCACAGATGACTCTTAACACCGCTCATATGTATGCACCATGCATTTTTACAACATACCCAGCAGTAAAACCCACATAATGGATGATACGTTGGAGGCTTGAAGATGGTAAAGCTGTGTGCAATCCAAAGAAACAGCTGTTGTTGGTGCATTAATGCCAAATCTTATTTTCTCTCTCTTATCCTCTCCAGATTTACTCACCTGACCACACTAACAGCAGTTTTCCATCCAACCCGTCGACACCTGTGGGGTCTCCCTCACCTCTGACTGCCACAGCAGGGGCTGCATCAGCAGGTACCGTGGTGACTGCATCCAGCACCCCGTCTGGAAGGCCAGGTAAAGCCCCAGAGTTTGATTTGATTCATACACAAGAACACCAGATACTTACTGTGGAATGTGAAATGCACTGCACTGAAAATACTTTATAAAGGCTTTTATTGTAGAAGGGTCTGAGTGACACACATCATATCAAATTAGAATCAGGCCTTGACCTTAAAGAGCCAAGCTCATTAAGAGGCTTTCATGAATATGACTTTAATTCATTCAACGTGTTTGACTGTGTAGGACATTAGTTGGATTAATTAAGCCTGATCAGAATGATGTGTGTGAACGTTTCCTTAAACATAATTTAATATTCCTTTTAATTTGAAGGAGTTCTAATAATACTCGGCTCATTCTTCATGCTCTATCTATGCCGGGGCGGGTAATGCCTTTTCTACATTAATCCGCTGTAGGAAAGCTCAGTTTGCTCTGACTTCAGGCTGCCCAGCCATGGAAACAACAGTAAAAACAAGTATTGGAAGATGTACAAGCAAAGAGAATAGATGATTAGAAGTACTAACTAGTTGTGACTGGCTCTTTCAAGCTCACAGTGAACTTTAGTTGCAAGTATGAGTATCATTAAAGCACGTTTTTGAAATACACCTGCTTGCTGACCAAATATCCACAACACAGATTTTATTCTCAAGCCAGAGGAAGCTGCTCCACGTAGACTCTCGGTGACATCACAGACCAGTGATGGCTCTGGTTTATTTAGGATGGTCTCTGTTCATGTTCATACATTTAGATCTCAATGACAAGTAGTTTAGCCATGACAGTTTAATTTTTACTTTTTTAAACTTTATGATTTAGTGATGTAAATGAATTTGTAAAGACTTCAGCTCCTGGAATGATAGGGTAAATGAAAGAGGAGTGGGGCTGTGGCTTTAAGGGTGCTTAAGGGTTTGAAAATCTTTCATGTAATGAAAATGTTTGAAGTGGGTGTTGAATTACATTTTTTTATGTATATTATGTAGAATTGTTATCCAGGTTTTTATTGCTTGGAAAAGGGGCTCATGGTTCCACCCTGCTTTGTAATAAAAAGCAATTTTAGGGAGTAGATTTAGTGTTACGTAATCTTTTCCAATCTTTTCATGTCAGTTTCATTTTTGAGGATGAACCAATAATTCCCTGAATTGATTGATAAAGTGCAACAATTGCAAAATAAGTCATATTACCCTTTTTCCAACTAAATGCTCCTGTTTGTAAAATGCTGGGATTTAAAGTGCAGTTAAAAGAGACGTGTCTAAAAAGAATATAGACTTCATGCTGACAGAGGAGAGTGAGTAATGGAAAGTGAGTGAGGGGGAACAGTAAAAGAAAGCCCACAGTGTTGTTATAGCGGGCAGTTGTGTCATGTGTAGTAATGGAGTGGCGACAGCTGCCTCTATGTGTGCCCCCCTCATCCTCAGCTGTTACCCTGCCCCATTGACAGCTGTTCCCCCCCAACACACACTCTCTCACACACACACACACACACACACACACACACACAATCCGACCAGGCAAAAAAGGCATTTATCTGCCAGTGGGTGAAGCAGGGTGGCTGTGCCTCAGCTTGTGAGAAATGCTATGAAACACAGGGTTATCCCCCTTCTTGAACTATTTACAGTTCACCTGGCTGTGTGACAAAAACATTGTCTTGTTTATCATGTTTAGGAATTGAACATTGATGTTATTTATGCTGTGTTGGTGTGCAAGTTTACTTAATGTGTTTATCAGTTTCTTAAGTGTATGACAATACAGTTTAAGAAATTAAAATCATTTCACTAAGAATTCACCCTTAATGGGCTTCAGGGGTTAGAAAGAAAAGAAAGTTTGAAATTGGCACAAAAATCCATTCATCATTGGGATTCCAGCAACATACAGCACATTATTCAAGATTGGTTTGTTCAATTAGCCCTCTCTGCTGCACGAGGGGACCAGAGGCCCCCAGCTAATTTTTCATAGCTGCCACCCAGCAGAGGCTCGTGCCGGTTCTTTTCTCTCTCACCTGGGAGAGAGCTGAAAGATTTTTCATTTCCTCTTCCAAAGTCCCTTTTAATCGTCTGTTAATTAAAGACTGACTTTGAGTGTAAGAAAACTAACAGAAGTTTAAGTGAGACGTTCAACAGGAAGAGTCAAAGGAAGAACTTATTTGAGCCAGTTTCTTGAGCCTATCGCTGTTTTCTTTACTTTTAAAAACATTGTTAAGTTCAGATGTTTATCATTTAGTTCTTAGTCCAAATATGTACCCAAGCTGAGGTTTGTGCTTACCCTGGATGATATTTAACAAAAGCAAAAGGTGTTGTGGAACCAATGAAAATGTCCATATCTCTAAGAACAGCTTGAAGACCCGCCCTCTCTGTTTGTAATTGTACTGAAATGAGCGGGAAAAATCTTAATTCTTGGAAAAAAGTTGTAAAGGGATATTTGTATTCCTAATTGAGCTCAAGGCACATGACACACTTTGAGTAACACAACTTACAGTGATTGTTCAAGATGCAAGTGTACTTTGATTGGATCAAAACACATGAGCCAATGCAGCACCCGCCGCCACCTCTTTTAAAAACCCTTGAAACAGCTTCTAATTGTAGACTGTGGACGGTTAAGTCTATAAGTCAAATATCGTTTCTGTCTCTGTTTCACCATCATAAATGTTCGACACATTAACAAACACTCAGTACGCTCTGATCTCCGTCTTGCTCAAGTGCTCCTATTGTTGAAGTCTCTGTCAGTGCTGTGTGCTTCAGTAGGCTCTATGTACCAGAATGTAGGCTGGGTTTGGCATGCATAGAGCTTAATAGACAACAGGTGAGCACTGAGAACCCCAAACTCCAAAGGACCACACTGACTCATCCTGTAGATAACCTGAGAAAATGTCTTTGTTGTCAAAATCTGTAAATTATATTTGATTGTATAACGCACCCCCTCCTGCTGCCCGTAGCACACAGTTTGCTTGGACGGTTGTGCTTCAGAAAGGGAAAGAAAGACATGTTGAGCTGGAACTGGAAATGTGATGAGCAGATGTGGATTCCTTTTCCTTCAGCTCTAATTTGCAACAGATCAAATCAGCTTGATTTGCCTTCCTGTACTAGCCTGTAGATTAACTTCTAAACACTCTGAACATCTGAACATCTTCCAGCCAAAGGTAAATAGTGATCTCCGTGTAGAAAATTATATGTTTCTCCATATTAAGATTGCATTATTAAACTGATATGTCATTTGTAGTGAAAAGACAAAAACTGCTGTAGATACTGCTTAGATTTGGCTTTATGGGACAAATAAGAAGAAAATACAAAGTACCCTCATGTGTTCAGATGTGCAAGCTGTAAAATACGAGAAGACTAACTGCATTGACAAGTCAAATAGGTGTGTGAATCACCAAAAACTCGAGAGAAGGAGAAAGTTAACCAAGCAAAACGAGAGTGAACTTGATTGAACCCAGATGTTTGGCAGGTTTTCTTCATCAAACACTCCAATGAAGGCCACGTGCTGAAACACTGCTCTACCACTCCTCATTTTTGATCACTCTGAAGTCTTTCTAGAGACTCAGAGTTTCCAAGAGAAAGGAAATGCAAAGAAGAATACAAGCTGATATTGTTCTCGAGCCTCTCATAACAATGCTTATTTATGTGCAGATGTTTGGGTCGGAAGTGGGCATTAGACAAAGCTTCCTCCAGCTCATGAGGCAGGATGCAGTCCAGTCACCAGGAAGTGATGCAGTTGAGCCCCTGAAAGATAAAAATATCCAGTATAGAACAACAAGAAAGCATAAAATCAGGATGTCAGTGTGTTATGACTGCGTGTCATTGTGTTTGTCAGCTAACTGTTGTGTCGGTGGAGCAGGAAACAGCTATCAGACATGTTGAAACTGAATCAGACGATGGACACATCAGTGACCTCTGCTTCATCTTCTTCTCTCCCATCAGGTACCAACCAGTGGCCCCGTACCAGTGGACAGACCCCTTCCTCTCCAAATTATGAGAACTCCCTTCACTCGCTGGTAAGCCCCCGCCCGCCTCCATCCTCCAGTGAGCGCAGGATATGATGGATGCTCACTTTACCCTCAGATAGCATTACAGGGAGATTCCTGTCTGACGAATGTTTTGCTGAGGAAGGTGGGGGCAGAGGAATAACCAAACTGAACAATACCTGTCCCTCGGGGCTCACCATCTGTCCTCTAGTCCGCGGGCCAGGACCGGGATGACAGTTGGGGGAGGGGCTTAGTGAAGGAGTTAAGGGGGCTGCCGGTGTGGGGATGGCAGCTGTTTGCTGAACCGCTTCTCCAGGATTCCTCCACTGGCATTAGACCACTGATACAGATCAGCTTTCATCAGGCACACCACCTGATGAAAGTGTTTACATTCTGTGCTGGGGAGTTTATCACTTGTATAGATGTTGAATTTAAAGAGCACAGAAGTTCAGCGTTCATTATAAATAGATATGAAGCATTAAAAGACATAAAATACAAAACTTTATCCAATCAAAACTGTCAGAAATAATGAAACGAACAGACCACGATTTAAAAGGAAGCAATACTCTTAATGGACATGTTGTTGTGATGTTTAAAAGGAGCTTTCTTATTGGCATTATGCCACATTTAAGTTGCCAAGTTTTTACTGAACAAAACAGTCACAGTCTTATCAAATGTTTCTGTTCAATCAGTAAATAATGTGTGAAGGAAAACATCATCATGTGGATGTTTTCTCTCCTGCTGCTGCATTGTTTTGTCTCTTCATGGCCCCCAAAGAGACAAACTAAAGCACACAAGCAGAGCTAACAATACAAGGAACTGTTATCAAAACACCTCAAAAAGCAGCTGATGATGAGAGTGATGTGGCAGCAAAATCCAATTCTGTTTGCCTTACCTTTAGTGTCGCTTCCATGTATCACATCTGATTGGTTAGAAAAGGGCAGAGAAGCAGAAGAGTGTGAGGTAGTAGGAATATTTAATGGTTGACTTGCATTGTTAGACTGAGACTTTAAAGTAGTACGTTTTCTTTTTAAACTAAAGGGTCATGATGCAACAACTCACTCACATTTTACCAAAATCCAATAATCTTTATATTTAACATTTGTTCAATAATCCAACAACACAAAACAGTTGTTCCTCCTTAAAAACCAAACATTTGTTAGATGAAGCCTATTTTGAGCTTCGCTTATTGTGGCGAAACCTTTATTAACTCACTTGCTGGTGAAGAGAATTTGTTTTTGGGATGATTTAGTGCTGTTAAGTCTTTGTTACAATCATTTATCACTTGATTCCTTACAGCAGTTAAAACTGAAAACACACAGAACATGTTCAAGGACTCCACATTTCTTTCCATTACAGTTATAAATGAATAAATCATTCCTCTGGCAGGCAGCGAAGCAGAGTTCAGATGATGACATATTCCCAGGATGTGTATGAGTGTTTTAATATCCCCTGGTTTTCTGTATTTGAGTCAAGAACTACTTTTGATTTAGGAAAAGACTGTTCATTCTAGACAAGCGGTGATGAATAACTGCCCAAACCTTCCACCTAACGATTTGTTTAAAATCAAATCGACTTATTCTGTCTGTTCACATGGTTAGTGGGCTACTGACAGCACCTAACTTTGGCTCAAGATTTATATGTATTTATTTCTGAAAGAAAATTATTTTAATAGTCCACAAAGCATTCCATTCTTGTTTTCTATCCCTTGTATATATTGAAAGGAACAGTTTAAGATGCCACATGTGAACTTTTTGTACCACCTCATACAAACTCAAAGAAAAGACAGAGACTGTAAACAGGGTTTCTAAATGTGCCAACAGCAAACTTTTTCATCCTCGCAAAGTGATTGGTCAGCAGCTGTGTGCTTTGCTCTAAATCCTTCTCTTTGTGTCTTTAAAAAACAATCTCCTTCCACAGAGTGTGTTGTTTCTGCATTTGTAGATACTGATCTCTTTCATAATCCTATCTTATTCTTATTTGACTTTGCCAGAAAAACAGAGTTCATCAGCAGTTACATGAGCATCTCCAGGATGCCATGTCTTTCTTAAAGGATGTCTGCGAGGTACTCTTCAGCTAGAGACTTTACTCTTCATGTTTTCCATACATCGTTCCTCATTTTGTTTTCTCTCACTTGTTCCGCTTGCAGTCTACATTCCTCACCGTGACATGCACTTTCATTCTTATTGCCTTTGTTGCTGAATGCCACGTGTTGCTGTCCTATAAGCCATTCCAGCTTGCAGTAATAGGTCTGAATGGTGCTTCTGTCAGTTATTCAATTTAAGAGATACGAAAGTGTTAATTTTAACAGCTCAAGCTGAAATGGCTTGATCTTGCATTTGAATGGCCTTCTTTATATTCTATTTGAGATTTTTTTTCAAGTCCACTCCATACAATCAGTGTTTACATTTTTGGTCCAAGTGTGCTTATACTTAGCTGCTCTGCCCTTCTCTTTCTCTATTCTCCCTCTCCCTCCACTCCTCTTTCCCTCCGGTCCTTCCAGTCTCGAATGGAGGATCGTCTGGACAGACTGGATGATGCAATCCTCGTTCTAAGGAACCATGCCGTGGGCTCCACCGCCAGTCTGCCCAGTGACTTGCAGAGTCTGCTGGGACAGGCGCAAAATGGGCCAATCGCAGCAATTGGAGCAAACTTCCCTGCCTCTGCATTGGTTGCAAATCGGACAGCAGCAATGGTACGGCAACTTCTTATAAGTATTTGGAAAAAATGTATAGAAAAATAAACTTTTTGGCGCATGCTTATATGTTAATCATATAACTTCTCAAAAAGAATCCTCTGCTGCCTCTTTCTAACAGGTCTGTTGTCAAGTGTTAAAAATGAGACATTTTCCACAGATGAGCAGTCGGCTTTATCCTGACATATTTTCCATAAGTGTAATGGCTGGCCTACAACTCGCCCTCTTCCTGAGAGTGGCTGTATAAACCGGGGTGAATGGGAAATGAGAAAAACAGGCATAATGCATTGAAGTTGTGTAAGATGTGTTTGTGTGTTGCAAGACTTTAAGGAATTCAGGGGTCTCAGTATAAATCATGCCTTCACTCATCCTCCATCTGAGCTGTTTCTTTCTAAAGAGCCCAGAGATTTGGACACATCTGCACTGGAAATTAAATGGGGCGACTCATCCAACTGTAATCTGGGGGTGTTTGGAAATTCTTGTGGGAGTCATGATTCATAAAAAAAAGCACATTAAACAAAATATTTTATGATTGATATTTTTTATTTAATTCATTCAAAGTCTTCTGACGGAAGTGGTATCCTCCCATGATACAAATTTAAATAGACATTGTCTTCAGATTAAAACTGAGCTCTGTCGGACTTTAAATTAACACATTTTTATTTTAAATCAACACATTTCACTGAGTTGACTAAAATAAAGATATATATTCCATACATTGTCAAGTTGATAAAGAAAAGCAGCAGGTCCTTGCGGGAATAATGGAAGATTTCACATTTTTGCTTGTAAAGTTACTCAACAATTGATCACAACAGAAATGTCTGCTGATTATATTTATTTCCATCTTGTAATCAATCAATCAATCAAACAATCAATCAATCAATCAATCAATCAATCAATCAATCAATCAATCAATCAATCAATCAATCAATCAATCGATTAATCAATCAATCAATCGATCGATTTCAAGTTTTAAAACTTGTAGTGCTTAATTAACTAAACCTCAGGAATGCACTTGACATGAAGCTGGCATGCAGTCAACATGTTCCCACTCACACAATCACCCACATTAAATATGAGGGTCTTTTCTGAAGCCAGTTTAAATTTGGCAAAGAATTAAAAGAAAAAATTATTATTATTTTTTTTTTTGCCAAAATTATTTCATTTTTCACAACATCACCTTAAAAGCTTTAAATAATTTTCTCCCGTTCTGATTCCTGGTCTCACGTCTTCTTTGCCAGCATTTATGTTTTAGTTAAAGTTTCGCTCTGTGTGTGTCTGCAGTGTTTTCACTCTTCTACGGAGGCTGTAGGCTCCTCGCGTGTTTTGTCCCCTAACAAGAGCGTCTCTGTGGTTGTCAGAGGAGCTCAGTTTGATGTATTTGTTACAGAAAGCTGGCTTGTAGCAGTGATGTTGACCGCCTGCGACTGTGAGATAGAACATACTGTGTCTGCGCTAACACAGCACTTCCTGTGTGGGAAGAGGTCCCCTCAGACAGAGCCCACCAGACTAAGTAAAGGCTTTTTACTCCGGCTGACACCCAGCCCCACACCCCCACTTACACCCCTTTTCATCACTTCTTTTTAACAACCCAGGAAATCTGTATCGTTGGAAACGTGTGTCTGAACCCGTGGCCCCCAAATAAGAGCTCCTCAGCTGTATGGTAATCAGGCCCAGCCATGAAAATGGCAGCCTTCTTTGCTCGCCAGAGCACCCGGCCTCCCCCCTCCTCCTCCAGACAAAGAGTTGTTTGGGCACCTGTTGAGAGCACAGCAAAGATTAGCGTAGCGCTGAGGAAGGGGAGGGTCTCATGGTGGTGGGGTTAACAGAGGCCAACAGTGACTGCAATCACATTCCTTAAGAAAAAGGGGGAATACCCTCCGTTCTCTGTGACGATTCCCCCCCATTCTCAGAGGGGAAATCTAAACGCTCAAGAACATGTGGTGAACCTCATGAAGGAAGGACTCTGTGTTGCAACACGGTGGGAGTTGACCAGTTTTTATGGGTTTTTTTTTTTATGTTGTGACTGTGGACAGAAAAACAAGGAAACAGCCAGAGTCAGACTGTGAAGTGGCTTCAGCTTGACATCTTTTGAAACTGAACACAGAAGGATTTGTCTCCTTTTAGACATGAGAAACAGACGTGGTCTTAGTTGTGGTTACAGAAAGCCAAGACGCCTGAGAATGCAAAGCAGTAAGCAGGGAATCATTGTGTAACATAAACAGGGGGAAAGAAGTTTTTCTTATTTTTCTTTAAAAATAAATTGCAAACAGTATTTTATTTTTATTTCTTTTTGGGGGGGGAGCTTTATATCAAAGAGGGTTTTAATTTTCTTTTATTTTGTGATTTTCTCTCTCTGTTAAGCATTCATATAATTGTAAAAAACAATCACAGAAGCATCCCCCAGTGTTGGAAAAAAGATACTGGTCTCATTAGAATATTTTAATGTTACAATAAGTAGATTGACTTTCAAACAGCATGTTGTCTATATTTTATCAATAATCTAGTAGCTGGTAGTTTTGATGTATTTCTGAACATATCAAGGCCTTTTTTAAAATTGTAGTACAGTATGTTAAACTTCCTGTTACGGTACCTGAAGTCTATAACTCAACTCTTTCCCTTGTTTTGCACAAGTCGTCTCCAAACAAAGTCAGCTTCCTCTCTTAACCTTTCCGTCCTTTCTGTCTGTGTTGCAGCAGGGTGGTGCCCACGCTGATGATGCCGTCGGTCTCAACAATAGCCATGGAGGTCTGCCCAGCACCTGCTCTACATCCACCGCAGAACTCAACCAACAGTTGGAAGCATTCAGAGGTCTTTTGCACTCTTATCATCACATTATATTGCTGTCACATTATGAAAAAGAGCGAGCTCAGTTGTTGTTCAGTATCTTACCTTATCCTTCACCACCTCCTGCAGGTCTTACTTCAGCCCTGGCTGGCCATCTGCCTGCCGCCCTGGAGCTGAAGGTGGAGAAACAGGACAAGGATGAGATGGAGGATAACCTCTCTGCTGATGACAGGTCTGATGATGAGAGCGACAAAAGAGATATGAGGACACCCAGACCTGGCACACGTACAAGGTCAGAACACACAGACACACACAATCTGTTTGAACTTGTGTTAGTAAAGGAAATAAATCATACCAATAGAAATTGTTTGAACTGGCCTAAATTTTGAAGATTGATTTTGTTATTTTGATTAAACCATTTTCACAAAGCAGAGAGTTGTTGTCTCCAGTGGATGACCGTGTTGTCAACATTAACATGGTTGTCAATTCAATTCAAACATTTGTTGCAGTAAAGGTTATTTGAAGTGGTATACTGTAGGTGCAGGACTGTTATACTTAACAATTTAGCTTGTTACTGTATTCTTGAATATAATGAGTTCATTTTATTATAAATCACATGTGAACAATTGGATTAGTTGCATGTGTTTGTTTCACAGTCATCCCACTTCTTTTCTCTCAATATGAAAGGCAGAAAATGAGCCCAACACTTTGTGTGTGTCGTTTGCCCCTTACAATATAACAGCTCTGACTTTAGGTGTGTTTCTTCTCCCACAGCATCACTGAAGATGAGGACCTGAATCCGGAGCAGAAGGCTGAGCGTGAGCGTGAGAGGAGGATGGCCAACAACGCTCGTGAACGCCTGAGGGTGCGGGACATTAACGAGGCCTTCAAGGAGCTGGGTCGCATGTGTCAGCTGCACTTAAAGAGCGAGAAGCCCCAGACCAAACTGCTCATCCTCCACCAGGCCGTGGCTGTCATACTTAACTTGGAGCAGCAAGTCAGAGGTCAGTGTCATTGAAACGTCACATTAAAATAAAATAGATTCTCTCAAATGCTCCACACTTGAATTCCTGCAAAAGGTCATTTAGTTTTAGTGTCACATCTAGAGAAAAGACTGCACTCATATTTAAAGGAAGTTTTTTCACTGACAGAGCTGCCAAATAATGAGACTCTGAGAAAATATCAGCCAGCAGAGAAACTATTGGGAAGCTGTGCAGGTCAACAGTGGAAGTCGACTAGCTTTTACATTCTTGTTCACTGTGGTATTTTATTGATATATAAATAATTTAATTATGATGCTGTAATCAAAAGGAATTGAACTCCTTATTTAGTTACTATAATGCTTGATCCAAATATTAAAAAAATAGCCCAAATGTCATTGATATTTAAACAAAGTGACTGATTATCGTATCTTTGAACCAACAGAGCGGAATTTGAACCCCAAAGCAGCCTGCCTTAAGAGGAGGGAGGAGGAGAAGGTGTCCAGAGGCTCCATTGATGCTCAACAAGCTCACACAGGGGTCCATTCAGGCCTGACTGATGCATCCAACCCCATGGGCCACCTCTGAGTAGCAGACAGGTACTATTACCTTTGTTTTCTACTCGTGTTTTCTACTGATTTCTTATTGTCTCAAACAGTTAATTGATCAATCATGTTAGGATCCCTGCAAAGTCAGAATCTCTTCTTTAAAGTTATTTAAATCACTTAAGTTTTTCTGTGAACTGCTGGAATGTTCTTTAGTTGTCTTTTATTATTGTATTTTTTTTATTTTGGGTACAATTTTTTTTTTTTTTTTTTTAAAACTACTTCATAACTTTGATTTTCAAAATCGCTATATAAATAAAGTCATCTTTATTACTTTTATTTATTTTATTTTGACCTGGTATCTCACCTGTTAGGGGGTTAACCACTAATGCCAGGTACTCACCACAGGGGTTCAGTCAAATCAAGGCCTCTTTGCAACATTTCTCTCCGTCTCTCCCTCAACTTTGATTCAGCTTTCCCCATCAAATAAATCCAAGATAGCTAAAATATGAACAATTACCATTTCATGAATTCAAGGGTATTGTCTTCAAATGTCTTGTTTTCCCTGCAGCGGTCAAAGCCGTATTCTGTGCATGAAATGACATTAGCAATCAAGGGATTTGTTAATCAGTCAGTCAATTTCCTCATTTGTGCTAGTTCTCCTTACCTCACTGATATACAGATCTTTTTTAATGAAACAGAAGCTTTAGTACTCCTAAATCAAACTCTTTCTGTAACCTTGAATATAAAAACACGCATGTTGTTTTGTATCTTGTGTAATTATTAATGTACGCCTCTGATCAGCATTTGTCTCCCTCTCTCTTCAGATCAAAATGATCCAGAACATTTCTGTCCCATTTGAGTCAGTGTTCTTGCTTACCAGTGACAGACAGGACTCTCAGTTTGTGAAACCAGTTGGAGGAGACAGACCACTTGAAGGAAAACTACGAGGCTCACACAAACCAATCCTTTGATTGAAGAATGAAACAGGCGTCCAGCTTCCAGTTACCAGTTTTCATCTGCAAATTTCTTCCCAAAAAGAAAAAAAAAAAAAACCTTCAGCACATATCAATGTCTGCAAGAAGTGTGTTGCTTCTGAACAATCAGAGACTTCGCAATCTCCTCCAACCGTTCATGGAAATTGCCTTGTGCCTATTGACGAATGCATTGTAAGAGCAATTGTTCTTTTGTTTGTCTGGTTCTTTTTTTTTCTATTTATTATGTTACTGAGCTATAAAGTGTATGTCTAAAGGGAAAGTGAAGCAAATTCAGAGAGAAATATGCAGCTTTTCAGTTGATCTATTGTTTGCCAGTGTCACCGTTAAAACTGAGCACTCCACCCTCATAAATCTTTGGCGAGTCTCGAGATGAGGGGGAACTATTTGGGCACTGAAAGGATTAATTTATTGGCCATTTTTTGAGTCATATTTATACCCAACTGACACGATAATTTGCTGTTTGGATAGAAGACGTAAATGCGCCCCTTGTTCAAAGAAAAAGATTATATATTATTTATATTTATATTTTTTAAATTCTGCCACTGGCCACACGCATAACCAAAACTACCTATGTTTGTTTCTGTGTAGTTTAGATACGTTTCTGTGCTACTGACAGGCCGACTACATTAGCGTCATCAATATTGTCTTCAAAGGTGACAGGCGAAGTGCAAACTCTAGGTTTACTGAAAGCTAAGTTAGAGTCTTTTTGTGTCCTCGGTAGTGAGCAGCAGAATTACAGAGAGCAATCTACTTGCAAACCTTTGCATTCCCTGAAGTTTGTAGTGTCTTAACTAAAGGAAAAAGGGGAAGTTGTTGTCCTCCTTCGCCATATAGTGTTAAATGTAAGCAGTGAGTTTTTTTTTTGTTTTCAGGTTCTTGTCTTTGATTAGCATCCTGACAGTCACTGGTCAGCTCAGAAGTGGCTTTTTTTTTTTCTTTTTTTTTTGTGCTTTTCTCGCCACCAGCTAATCAGAGACTGCTTGATGAAGATTTAGTCATATTAAAAAAACAAACGACGACCACACTTTCTCCTGGCCTGATGAACACATAACCTGTATTTTCTCTCTTCATTTCTCCAGACATTTTATGTCAAAAGCAGTTATTCTTTAGTTATGCTTATTTGTGTTGTAACGAGTCATTTCTTTACACTTCCAGCATATCAATGTGCAGTTTCAGTTAGAGGAGACAATATCTTTTTCAATTATGTTTTCAAACAAGCCGTGTTACACTAAGAAGCCAGAGTAGATATTTCATGGGCTTTGTGGGATATCTTAGAACTGTAGCATAATAATGAACAAACTAGTTATCAGGATTTACTTTTTTATGCTTCATGGTCATGGCTTTATTTTGCTTTCCTTTTCAAAGTGTGCATGCTTTACGTTTCTCCTTTTATTTAGTCTTTGGTCTTAAGACTTGCTTTATATTCCATTTATTTTTTTGTACATTGTCTCCTATCATTATCTACACTTCAAACAAGGCTCACACATTCGGAAATTCTTTTTCACCACACAAAAAGGGACTTCAGCCAATTCAAAAGACGCCACACAAAAAGTTTACATTAAGATTTATCATTTGACCACTAAAAAACTTTTTTTTTGGGGGGGGATTGTTTGTTCTCTGAATGAATGTGGCCTTGTTTGTCATTTCAGTATTTAAGACTTGTATACCTGTCAGCAGACTTTGATTGAGGGTATAATGTATGCCACTTCCTGCTCTCTTTCCTTCCCTTGTTCATTTTCTGTTTTTTCCCTATACGTTTTTGCTCCTCTGTTTGCCAAGTTAGACTTTTTGCTGTATTCCCAGACACTTTCCCTTGTATAATATATGAAGGAAAAAAAGGAAATCAAAAGGAAAAAAACATCAACATTTGGCTTATTTTTCACTGTAGTTAGTCTTTTATACAATAATACTGTAAGAATATTTCTTGAATTCTAAATATTACTCTTTCTAGATTTTTGAAAGCAAAAGTTTTGAGTAAAAAGTTTCTTACTTTATTTTACTATATTAGATAGTAAAATGTACGGTTATTTACAATAACCTGTCCGTGATTACAGGAAATTTTCAAAAAGCATCTCAAGAACATGGCTGAATTTTTGCTCGTAGTTGAGTACTTCATAAAGCTTCGTACGAGCTCCAGATTCATAAAAGCGAGACCGTGCTCTTCTTCTCTGGTCTCATTGTCAGTTCATAAAAGATTTGTTCCTGTGTCAAATCAAAAAAAACTATTGTCGATGCATACATTACAAAACTGCAACAATGGGAATTTGAATTTTCTGTCTTTTTCAACAGAAAAAACACAATGTATATAACATTTATGTTGCAATAAATGTGCCATCTTTTTTACACTAATTTGTATGTGCATTTCTTTCTCTCACTGAGCAAACACGTTTGTTTCTTTCCCGTCTCCATATTCATATGTCCTCTCCATAATGTTTTATTTTTTTTAAAGGCACAGGAAGGATGATGTAGGATGAGCTCAGAAACAAGTGGTAAATAAAACGTCCTTAATGTTTTTGTTTTTTCCAGACATTTCTACAGTGGATTTAGGCCAAATGAGTGTTTTATAGTATGTAACTCATTTTTGAAAATACTACCAGTGGACCATTTTAGTCTGTATGGAAAGTGCTATGAATATATGTTTCTATTTTTAATAAAGTGTGATAGCAGCGTACTGTACATGTGCTGGGCTCCTATTTTTTAAATAAAGAGTCAAAATTTGTACAGGGAAAAGGAAATTAATATGAATAATTGTCAACAGGGTGTAGATTATTTTTTTTTTTAAAGATTTATTTTGGGCTTTTTTCGTGCCTGTAATGCAGAGAGAGGACAGTGGGTAGAGTCGGAAACCAGGGAGAGAGAGCGGGGAATGACATGCGGAAAGGAGCCACGGGAGGAAGTGAACCTGGGCCTACCGCTCGAGATGAGAGTCTCAATTCATGGGACGCGCGCCCTGCCACTGCGCCACCAGCGTGCCCCAGGGTGTAGATTTTTTAATTAAAATATTTTCTGATACATTAATTAAATGTTAATTAACAGCATTTAAAATTCAGTTGACTATCAGTTTCAGGTTGTTGTTTTTTTAAACTTAGTTTAGACATGTTTTATTTATCTTTCATAGTAGTAGAAAACTAAAATAATTTGAAACAAATGAAAAAAGTCAAAGCTAAATTAAGGTAGCTGTCACACCTCTGCTGGTGCCAAGGGGATGTCACACCTCTGCCGGTACAGGTGACTAACACCTGTTCTTCCATCTAAGACCACAGTACAAGAAAGAAATGCTGACATTATTAAAAAAATTAAAAAACCCAACCGGAATTTTCTAACTTAGTAATTGTTTTTGTGGAAGCAGCTTTCTATTGGCTGTGACTGGAGTTCATGAAGTGTTGTGAGCACGGTTGTAAATCTTTCACATCTGCACAAAATTATCACCATGCAGATGTGAGCGGGCTCATCACTTCCTTCGCAGTCTGATCCCATTTCAGCTTTCTAAACGACAAAAAGAACTGCTAACTGCTCTCCTGCCTATGGTGAACTCAGTGATGCAACATGAATCATGCCTATCATCTATTATTCTTTGCAGGGATGAACAGAACATGTGACAGTGTTGTCAGGCTGCTGCTGCTGCTGGTGGAGGTGATGGGTGTGCATGTGGTCTGTGGGAGTGGGACCACCGGGTCTGAAGGCTGATTTCCTGTCATGGCTGCTGGGCCAGCAGACAGAAAGTCCTTGGCTCATATCCTTGAAGATCGACCAAAGAGCCTGCTGCTCCTCCTGCTCTGAACACTGAGATCATCCTCCTCTCTGCTGCTCTCAGAGTGCACTCAACATGCTGCTTAAGCTGTGCTTCGTGTTCAAGTGACTCCTTATAATTATTTCCAGAAATAAAAAACTAGAAATTAAGTACAAAATTGTTAGAAAGTACTTGTCTTTCAATGTGTTACCTTACATATATGGTTATTTTTCCCATAACATTCAACCCTCAAGACATGTTGGGTCAACAATCAGGAAAAACACAAACTGCATCTCGTATTTGCTTTGATGGATTCCTTTAACATTTGTTCGACCTTTCTGTTATTTAAAGGTGTATGGTTTTAAACGTACTCACTAAGAAACTGTATAAATGACCTCTATTTAGAAGACCAAGATGGTATTTTTTTAATGAGTTTTTAATGATTTTTTATTTGTGGGCTTTTCATGCTTTTATTTTAGAGATAGGGCAGTAAATAGAGTCAGAAATCGGAGAGAGAGGGAGATTGGGGAACAACAAGCGGCAAAGGAGCCACAGGTTGGACTGGAAACCTGGGCCGCCCGCCTAAAGGGCCACAACCTCCATACATGGGGCGCGTGCACTAACCACGATAGGCTGCCGGCGCCCCCACTGGGGCATTTTTAAATGAGTATTTACTGTCTTAAGCCTAAGAAAAATTGCAGCACACTGATGACTTAGGAGTTAAAAATTGGATAAGTGTTCAGGTATATGTTGTTGCTGATGTTTTCCAGCCTTTATAAAGATTGGAGAAAGCTACAAAAATGGTTGGAGAATATTTGGTGTTGATGCAGCTGCCCGTCCCAGTATTTCATCCTCCTGTAATATGACTAACTACTTCAGCTGTCTTAAAAAAGTAAAGAAAACCTCTTTGCTGTGTTAAATACTGTTGTACTTCTCATTTCAAACACAAGAAGAGAAGCGGTTCTATGTTTTGTTCTCCACATTGTTGGATTTTCTGACATTACTGACTTGGTGTAGATTGTTACTATGTCTCTTACAAAATGCCATAATAACTTTATTTTCTTTTCAAACAATCAACTCCAAAATGTTGGATGCACACCTGTTCACTGGGGGGGATTCGTTAGTTTCATTCAGTTGATTCATGTCCGTCATGAATTAGACCCTTAAGACAGTATCAGCTGAAACCATCCACAATGCAACAGCTGAAACTGAATGAGCGGAAGTGCTTCTATCAATCTTTGGGCCCTGTCAGTTTGGTTGACATGCCCCTGGAGTAGCTCTCATAATCAGAATCATATTGAACATGCCCAGAGGTCCCAGCTGTGGCACCTCAGCGGAGAACAGAGTGCTCATTGTGTGCTGCTGTAACCCAACACAGAGACACGGAGCCCAGATTAAAGGCTGTGGAGACACAAACATAAACATCAAGACACAACAAAGACACATGGGCCAGCTGAGCATCAGGCTAATGTTGTTCATGCTGTAGTAGTAAGTTATTTTCTGTCGTCGGTACAGGAAAGTGACTGTAAAGACAAAGACAATAACGGATAACTATTACTGAATTCCAGCACCTATAAGTACAACCTGGGGTTATACGGTCTTTACAGGAGACATTTATTTTGTTTCATCTTTGCTACAGTTCAGATGGAAATGATGGAGATACATTTTTAAGAGTAACTCTAACCCTATTGATGAAATGGTTAGAGTAGGCTAGTTTAAATTAGTTCCGTCTTGACCAGCTACAACATTAAATATTTACGTCCACATAACTGCATCAGTGTTAATGATCCTGTTATACAATATGGACGGTCACCCTAAATGACTGCTTTTAATTCAGATATTGAAATGCACATTTTATTTTCATTTATTTAATTTAATTTAATGTATTATTATTATTATTATTTTGCAAGAAAGTATCAAAAGTAACATGACAAAAGTTACTGTTAAACGGGCCTGACTGGTTTAAAGTAAGTTCCTCCTCTGCAGCACATAAAAGACAAAGATCACATCAGACAACAGAAATACAAAACAGAACAGCAACACAAACATTTTTAAACTACTCTTGTAAATTGGCTAACATAAGATTTTGAATAGAGTTGTTTCCAACATTTTGAAGTTTTGGCATAAAAACACGTAATCTGAGTTCTGTTTTTCTGTCTCTGGTCTTTTAATCCAAATGTTGAGTCCATACTCATGCTTAGGATTGTGAAAGTATGGGGAAACTTTCACTGCTCTGCCTTGATATAAAAAAGCCAGAAAACACCACTAAGTATTGTAAAAAAAAAAAAAAAAAAAACTTAAACATAAATCAAGGTAATTGCACATGCTTTCTTCATCACTGCAATATAACTGGTGTAACGACATCATTAACGTCTTACTGCTTTAATGGACATAGCGTGTAACATGAACAGCACTTTTTTATATTGTGACATTAAAGTGACTGAGGGAAGCGTACATCTACAGATTTGTTTAATAATGAGTTAGGCTATAAAGGAAAGGGTTTAAGTATGGATATGTTAAAAAAATAAACTTTTATCATACTTTTGCTGATTTTCTTTGAGGTATTTTGTATGAGCATGCTTTATGCCTGGCCTATACTTCTGCTACAACTCTACTTTAAGCCATATTATTTATCACTGCTCATACTGTTTGCTTAGTGTTGCACTTCCTCTTTAAATACATGTGCACCACAGGCACTTTACCTCGAAAATAAATAACACACCCTGTCCAGAACATTTTTCATCATGTCCTCATCCCATACAGTATCATACCTTTCCTAATATCAGGATTTTGTAATGCTGTACTCCAACAACTCGTTGCATCGCATGAGTTATTTTAGTTCGCCTATAGCTTATAGGCTGTGAGACGTTCACTGCATTGTCTGTGTGAGTAACAGCCATGCACCAGCACCAGCAGTCATCACAGGCTATTACTAACTGTCCACGTTCAGGTCAGCTGACTATCCACTAGATGACGCTCTCGGTTTTTAAAGACATGCAGCTGCAAATTACATCCATGCACTGTCTAATTAACAACACCCACCACACCAGTCTGAGATTTATAGGTTCATTATTCATCTGTCTGGGTATTTTTGTTACCAATTTAAGGCCTTAATTGTGTAACTAGTTCAAATTTCACCATATGTATGATTAAGTAGAGTAGGCCTGGTCTTGGCTTAGGCTTACAGCATTTCTCCATCATGATGTCCGCCCATCTGCTTTATTCAGAGTAGTAGAACATGATTAAAAACTCAAAATGTACCACCTCTTTTTTATACCCTACATTTGTATATGTAGCCTATGCACCATAGTCTGATAATAATAATTAAATATACTGTTCGGCTCTAGGAAGACTACGGTACATATAGGCCTAAGTATCAGGCTGCGGTAAGTGGGAGAGTCGCACCTATGCCCAACTGGTTTCTGAGCCTCTACAGGGATCGAGCTGAGTCTAGCTGTGAAACTTAAAACCGAATCACGACCCGGTAGAAGAAGGCCTGCTGAAGTATCCGTCCACATTTGATTGGAGTTGTGAAATCTGTCCCTGGAGCAGCGGACTGGTTTTGAGTGGGTGGGCGGGTTTGTGTGTTTGAGTCAGGAGGCGGAGCGGCCCGGAGGGTCGGACGTCCTTCTCAAACTGCCATACTCTCTCCTTAGAAAACAACACACGGGACTTAATAAGTTAGCAAGCAATGTTGTTGGCACTTGCTTAAGCGTTTATCTTTTAAACAAACCCCTTCAACTAAAGGTTTAAAAGCTGCGATAATTAAACCAGAGAGAAAAGCGACGCCGGTGAGTAACTCAAACTAACTTAACAGCGTTCATTGTAGACTGTTGTCGGAGCGATAACAAGAGTTCAACATTTCACTATAAAAGACAAGTTAACTTTCCATGTACGAGCCTTGAATGAGTCGCAAAGTAATGTAAGCTAGGACAAATTAAAGGAAATGCACATTTATATTCAACAACAAATCTCTGACTTGTGTGTTTCTTGCCACCTGTTGCACTGAGCAGCAATGTAAAAAGAAAAAGTGCGTCAACTCAACCTGCCGCTGTTTTCCTTACGTCCTGCTTATGTACCTTTATGTTTCACACTAACACTGCGTCTGTCAACTTTTATTGACATATCAATTAAGTGCTATGACTTCATTGTGTTTACAGTCGCTGCTGTACGCTCACGATGCATTTACCTGACGGCTCCAGATTAGTGGACTCATGTTACGTAACTTTATAATATTTTCCCACAGCTTGAATCCTCGCTCCTTTTGAGTGGCTTCATTCGGCTTTTGCATTCCCTCACTTAATGCTGCTCTAAACAGATGTATTTCCCCCATGTCATGTTTCAGGACTCTCTGTGACACAGCACTAATCAGTTCTCACGAGAAGATAAAAAAACTGCTTTGTGAAATCTTTACAGAGGCTCCCCTCCTCACAGATCAAAGCCAGGCCCTTGACATCCCACCTGTGCTCGGTGCTGACCTCTCTGCTCTGCAGCACAGGGGTCAGTGAAGGCAGCACGGCCACTAGGAAGGGCAGTGGGGCATCTCAGTGTGGGTTTCCTCCCTTTGAAGTGAAAAAAAAAATGAAAATGATAAAAAAAGTTGTTCACTTGTTGAAGAGCTTGTGTTTTGGGTACATATGACACGAAGGCTGAAAGACTCCATTGACCTCATCTTTAATCTGATGTGGACAGCACTCTTCCTGCTGGACAGGACACTTTACCTTCTTCTTGGCCAACATTTGCAGTGTTTTTTGACTGACAGGCCACACCACCTGAAACAAAGAGAAGCTCTGCTGATGACTAATACATTTGATTATTATGGTTTTATCAGTAAAATGTACATTTGGATGATAACAGAGTACCTGTAATGTAGCAAACACCAGGATGTGTCGTATGGGCTTTCATACCATCTTTACTAACACATTTCCTCTGGAAAAGTCCTAAAACGTTTCATTAGGTTCTCTAGGTCTGCTGATGAATTGACCATTTTGTGATTTAGATTGAGACTGATTTGGATGAAAAATGTTTAGAAAGGAATGGCTCATCCAGCCAACTTAATTAATGAAAAATCTAAACATTTTATCACATTGATATGAAAATAACCACATGCCCCCAAGTTAATTTTCAATGTGCTATATTTTCAGGATCAGTTGCCCATCCGTCTCTGTTTCCCTGTTTAATGCAAATGTGCAACATCCTGCCTTTTCCTTTGTAGTCAGTCTTATCAGTGTCTTTTTGCAGTCCCATCGCCGAATCTCTTTGTATTGTAACATCAGGTAGAATGGGTCACTATCAGCAAGGCAAACAGGAACCTGCTAAAAGCCCATTGTCCAGTGAAACACAGGGTGCTGCTGATGGCTTTGTCTTCATGGCTACCCAGGCACAAACATGTCTGAGGAACATTTAGAGGTTAACTTTCATATCGTTCGCAGTTTTGTATTTATTGCCAGCTGTGTTGTCATGATTGTGCATCAAACCTTGTCAACGTTTGACAACCATGCAATTATGAGCAATGTGACAAAATTGAGCAGCATAATATTTGGTTACTGTCTGTTGCTGCATGAGAGTGGGCTGCAAATTACACTGTCATTTACAAGGACAACTATGTTGTGTATGTGCATTCAAACAAACTCACACTCACTTTAAACCTACCCCCCCAAGGCTGAGCACAGATGACAGAGGTCTGACATTGTTCTCCTGTCTAACCGACTCATGTTGGAGTATTATCTTTCAATCCCTTCCTCTTAACCTGTTTAACCTATATTCTTTGTTTTGCAAGGTAAACAGTCATTTAGATATACCATACCTGTTAGTCACACACCCGTTAAGACCTTTCTAAACACCACTTATTATTTAAGCTGTTTAAAGAATGTGACTGACGTTGACTCATATTTTCAGGGACAGTATGGGAGAGATGTCGAAGGAAACACTGGAAGCTCATTGGCTAATTTTTTCATTTCGTCAGAGCTCATTAGCAGAGCAGTTGGAAAGATAAGATCTCTGTGGAGAGAAAACACCACATTACCAACGCTAAACAGGAACAGAAAATGAAAGCGGGTGAAATAAAAATGCGGCAAGGCTTTAATGTTTCATTGGAGGCCGAGTGTGGATCTGGGAAACATTTGTTGAAATTACTGAATTATGTTGTCTCTCATACTTGACTAATACAGCTTGCATTAATGTTTGCTTGCAGGGGTGGGCCACCTGATCCAGGGAGGAGGATTTATTTTCCTTTTGCATTCCTGATGGAGTCGTACAGAGTAACTGGCATTCCTCCCAGCGGCCCACAGCGGGGCCACACTCAGCCATCCCGCCCCTCCAGGCCCCACAGCAATGGAGCTGGTACATATGGTCTCAGCATCCGTGTCCAGGGTATTGATGGACATCCCTACGTAGTCCTCAATAACCAGGACAGGGGTCCTCATTCCTTCATGGACCCTAACAGTAATGGGTACATTGACTCAGAGGGCTCTTTTATTGAGAACTACCAAGAGTATGACTTCAAGGGAAGCAAAGAGGCTGGATCAAACAGCCCCTTCATGGATTACAGGTCTCAGAATATGATGCAATACACTGGTCCACAAAATGGCGTCGCAGATTCACAAGGAAAGAAACCATCCTCCCTTCTGAACTTTCAAAAGCACCCTGAGATCCTGCAGCCATATGATCCAGACACCAACTCCCTGAACCTTGGTGGTTTCCACCGCCTGCCTTCAAGGTCTCCACCTCCAGCTGAGACTGGGAACCAACAGCAGAGTTCCTCCTCCAAAACTGCCCTACCTGCACTATCCCAAAGTAAGTCATCCAGCTTGGACCAGAAGAAAGCGCCCACACAACCAGAGAAAAAGCGACCTCTATCCCAGAGCATGAATGAGGCAGTCGTCCCTACGCCTAAGTTGCCGTCTTTACCTTCAGTCCAGCGTGCTCAGCCTCAGAGCCAGCCTCAATCAAAAGTTGCTCAGCCGCATTCTCAACCTCGTCTCGCCAACACGAGTCCACTTCAGTCCAAGCCAGGCTCTAAAACTCAGCCTCCATCCCAGCCGACACAATCCACTGTGTCGAGTCCGACGAGTGAGCAGAGCAAGTCGTCAGGCAGAACCCCCAGCTCCATGAGCAGTGCCAACTCCAGTCTGGAACGTTCAGGCATGAGCCTGACGTCCTGCCTCTATGCAGGACAGAGTCAAGTGGGCCAGTTCTTCAGCCTACTTCACGCTCCCGCCACTCCTCCACATCCTCCACGTCCAAGGTTCTGTTGGATGAACAAATGGAGGCCCTGTATGCTGACACCATCAACCGCCACGAGAACCGCCGATACATCCCGTTCCAACCTGGTTCAGGCAGAGACATTGACACAGGCTCCATTCCTGGTGTGGACGAGCTTATTGACAAGTTTGATGGCAGCCAGCAGCGCAGGGGCAGGGCGGGGCGCAGGAACAGGATCCATCCTGAGGACAGGAAGCGCTCACGCAGTGTGGACAGCGCCCTCGGCCTGCGAGATGCCTCAAGCTTCTTGGATGGGGTTAGCTCCCGCCAAGGAACGAGGATGGAGCACGTCCTGCGGCCCTCTCAGCTACGCCTACAGAAAACAGCTGGCAGTCAGGACTCCTGGATCTCAGCTGTGGATGGTAGGACTGACTACAAAGCTTCATCTCGTGCCACCAGTGCGCCCGGCTCTCCTCAGAGCACCATCTCCAATGGTGCCAGCCTCATACAGGGTTACAAAAGTCACAGACTAGCTCCTCTTCAGTACCATTCAAGAGAAAAGAGGACAATGCAACATCAGAAGGAAAAATGTCGTCATCATCATCGCTGTCCACATCCCTATCAAAGCCTTCTTCCACGGCAGACAAAAAATCCAGTTCAGAAGCAGATGTTCAGGTAAAAGCCAGAGATCACTGATGAATATCCATGATTGCATCTTACCATTGACAAAAAAGGAGACGTTCAAGAAGAAAACTGATTTCCCCTTTTTTTTTTTATATCTATCTTACTTAATTAAAATCTCCCTCTCATTTCCTGTCATTCTCAGGCGACACCTGATCTTCTCAGAGGTCAACAGGAGCTTTCACAACAAACAAATGAAGAGACAGCTAAACAGATTTTATTCAGTTACCTTAAAGATGGGTGAGTAAACACCGCTCTCCGGTTCTTATTTACATTTGATCACAATTTAGCTTTATATCCCTATAGCTGTGAGTTGAATCATGAAATGAAGATATTGTTCTCTCTAAAGCCCAGAAGTTGCACCATAAGGCACTGTATCATGAGCGAGGAGACTTTTCTGTGGGAGCATATAAATGTTTTTTTTTTTTTTTTTTTTATCAGAGTTGGACTCTATGTGGTAAAAGTGAAGGAATGTGCTTGTCTTACCCTCCCATGCAGGCTGGGAGTGATCTAGCTGTCTGGAGTTTGTTTTCTTGGAGAATCCCTCTGCTTTTCCTTCTCTTTAGTGTGAAATGTGGGGACGACTTTCTGTTTGCTTCTGTAATCAGACACCTACTAGATGAAGTTGAGTTTTAAAAGGAGTGAAACATGATGAAAAACAAACAAATATGATGACTCTATTGCTTTTTTAAAGTCTCTTAATTAAGGTAGAGAATGCCAATGCCAGGGGTTGTTTTTGGAAAATGCCTTTATTAATAACTACCCCTTGTTACATTGTTTTCTGCTGATAATCAAAACAGTTGTGGGTGATTTTACAGTGAGAAAAATGTGTACAGATTTTTCTGTCATGTCCGTAGAAAGAGAACAGGAAACTGCTTGGGTGTGTCGAGCCACAGGTCAGGAGTCACAGGACAAAGGAAAGGAAACACAGATGGAAGTGCAAGGGCTGAATCTGAGCTACATTCCCAAAGCCCAGAAGAGAAACATTCACCAACAGGGGTTATAAAAGTTTAATGGAAATCATCTGTATGAACAGAGGAGAGGTTTGGGGTGGGGTGGGGGATTGGCTTTCTGTGTCATAGCTGTGAAATTTATTGAAATAATATATCACCGCTGTCATGTGAAAGTGTTTTTTGTGGATTCTGATGTTTTCACTTGAACTGAAGGATTAGAAATTGCTCTGTGGGTTGAGAAAATCCTCCCCTCTGTGGTGCTTTCAAATGTTTGGCAGTATACTTAGAAATGCTCAGTGTTAACACTAAAGAAAAGCTGCCATTATTGATTCTAGGGAAGTTGATGTTTAAGAAATGTAAAGTTTTTTTTCTGAGCAGAACATAACTATGACCAATTTGACTTTAATAATTTTTGCAGAAGAGGAGCACTTCACCAAAGAAGTGGTATAATATTTGTGGTTATGGCTTGTGGTGCCCAGGTCATGTGAATGCCGTCTTCATAACAATGATCTTTGTTTCTATAATTAAAATTATGAACAAAACCACTGCTTGACTGTGAATGTCTCCTCCGTCGTATAATATCAGCAGGTGTTGATCTGGCCTAGGCAGCAATCCCATTACCCTGCCCATATGTTTGATTCTTCCGCTCATGTGCTTCATGATTTAGTGGACGGGTGTAATGAAGCTGTTGATGCTGAGAGGTGACACATCAAAGCAGCATGATCCTTCCTGACCCTTTCTAAGCAGGGATGAATTACTCTGTTCCCAGAACAGTCTGGAATTAAATTTTGATCCCCCAAACACTTAGAGAAGTTTTTTTTTATGTTTAATAATAATTGTGTTGTGTTAAAATTGTATGTGTGTGCGTGTGTCAACAGAAGTAAAGACAGTGATGAAACGACAAAGAGAAAGGTCAACCTTGTCTTTGAGAAGATACAGACCTTGAAGTCTCGGGCCACAGGGAGTGCACCAAGCGACAACAAAGTGAGACACTGTTGCATCATTTTTTATTGTTCACCAAGAACAGATTAAATAAAGTAGACTCTTCTCTGCTATCTGTTTGGAAATGTCAAAGGGTCATCATAGTGCAATAAAAGATTTAAGGTTTCTGGAAGTGCAGCTTTGTCCTTTTCAAAGGACAAAGTTTGCCTTCAATTCTTCTTGATTTTCTGATTATCAAAAGTGTATTTGATTTTAAAGCAATTTTAAGAGTTTTTTTTTTTAAACCTGTGCATTTTATCGTATGGTATTCGACGTTCAGCTCTATGGCTGTAATTTGTATAGATGACACTGTCTGCAATTGAATATGTACCGTTTACTAAGTGACTGATTGCTACTGCCAGAGTTCACATATTCAATTTGACATAACGTAACTCAAAACAACTTTTTCTCTTGTCAGTCACTTGACATTTCTGCACAGACCAAAGTGCTGCAGGAGCAAAATGCTGAACTGGAGAAGGAGATGTCCGAAGTAAAGAGACAACTAGAGGTAACAACAATGTTACTACATATGTACCTTTGACACCAGCAGGCTTAACTTGGCACATAGTATAGTATTGGTTAGTGGGTTTGTTTCCAAACTTAATAGTTTTTTTTTTTTTGGCTTGGATAATAGATTCAAGGGATCACCGTTCAACATGTTGAATTTGAAGAGACATTACTAATAGATGAACATTTGCAAAAAGGCACATCATCTTTAGAGTTATAGAGTGTACAAGCTGTTTTCTTGAAAATCTGTTTTTAACCTTTTATCAAGACACTGCCGTGTATTAGAGATTTTACATAGTTCAGTCTTTGCAATGTTAAAATGTATGGGCAGTGTAAAGAAAGGCCACATCTTAATGTTTTTATCAAACAAAGAGTGTGTGTGATCATCTTAATCCAAAGACCAAAAGCATTGTGCAGGAGATGTAAAAGACGAATATGTATGTGTATTCTACATTGCAATGTCAACGTTGATGTTTTTGTGTTTGACTATCAGAAGAATCAAGCTGACAGGAGGACAGCAGCAGATTTGAAGGAGCTGCAGCAGGAGCTGGAGCGGAGTGCTAAGGAGTGTAACCGCCTGAGGGAAAAACTTGCCCAAACAGAAGCCGAGCTCCAGACTACTTTAGAAGAGTAAGTGCTGCTTTAGAGTTCTAGAAAAGGTCGAGTGACAGATTAATGTAACATGGTTTTGATTGTTTTTTTTTTTTCAAGTACAGTAACATTTTCTTATTTCAGTTAATCTTAGTAATGAATACCGTGTTAGGAAGCTGGTGAGGGTTAGTGCTCTGGTCTCTACATAAATCTCACTCATTTGTTGCTGATCCTGAATAGAAAACCTGTCCTGCACATTATCTTTAGAAGCAGTGAATCAGAAGAATACTGTCACTGCTAAAATCACACTAACACCTCCATGCATGGTCACGCTGAAACCAGAGTAATATGTATGTTGTTAAAACCACTGACAAATGTTGATAGTTACTGAAGTGGTTACCATGCACAGTCCATTGCTTCTCCTCCTGTTTGCTGAAGAGACAACCCTTCATATCAAAGTGTGCTTTGTGACTGATTAACTGTTAATTCTGACAGCACTTACTGTTTACACTCCTGCCCTGTTTAATGCTCAAATCTCTCCTTTCTTTTCTGTTGGATCTTTGTTGACATTTTTGATGCTTGTTCATTCTGCAATGTTTCTCTTACTGACATTTTAATTAAGTTTTGTCTCTTAGCTGATTACTGTTTATTTTCAGCTTTCATTGGAATGAATCGCTAAATGCCAAATATGACTTAGCTTTCACTCTGTTCTTTCTTTGGCATTCATTTTTCAGATGTCTGCCTTTATTGGATGATTGATGCCGAATCAAACAAAATGGAATCAGCTTCCTGTCACTCACCTCTCTCTGAGTCTATTCTTACAGCAGGGATAGATGTTCAGGTTCAGCCTACAGCACTGTGAGGTCATTTGTTTGAGGTGCCTCACATCACTTATCACCCTCCCCCTCAGGGTTGTCATGCAGAGACAGTTTACACATTATTGGTTTGCCAGGTTCAGGTTTTCATTTTAACCTCTTTGCTCTGTAGGCCTCACATCCAGACCCAGCACAGGTGCTGCCATTTTTAAGTGTGAATTAGGGAGCAGGTGTGAGGGCGTTTGTGCATACCCACTGTATGTAGAGTGTCTGTACTGGGTTGTGACATGTTGTGTGGATTATCAGGCTGTTTCAGGTGAAGATGGAGAGGGAGCAATACCAGACAGAAATCAGAGACCTGCAGGATCAGCTGTCAGAGATGCATGACGAGCTCGACACGGCCAAGAAGTCAGCCCCAGATGGGGAGAAAGACATCATCATAGCGGTAATGCACAGTGTTCAACGTTCTATACAGAAGAAAAAGAATGCCTCATAAAAAGTATCACAGAAGTTGAATCCTTTGTCATTGCCCAAAAACTTACTGATGAAGCCTTGCTAAGGACTACGCTGCTTTTCAAATTCAGACATTTCAAATACAGAGGTGTTTCGAAGTGCTTTACATAGTGAGGGAAACAATAGGTAACATAGGATAGCATTTGTAATCATAAGAAGGACATTTTCAATGATTTCAAAACAAGGTCTGTCAATAATCCTGAAAAGAAATCCAGAATTAGAACAGTATACCTTAAATAATATGTTTTTTATTTTTCCCCAAATCCACCTTCTATATTTTAATATTCTCTAACACTGCTGACATTATGTATTGAAACTGTTTCAAGTGAGAAAGTGAGAATGATCAGTTTAACAAAAGAGAAGAGCAAATGCAAGTGTAAGCTCAGGTGTGGTTCCACAAAATTTCAAAGTAAAAAATGCATCTACACATTTTACAGGATATGATGCAACTGAAAGTGGAGTTGCAGGAGGTTTTCCTGGCTAAGGAGGAACAGGAGGAGGTGCTGAGGAGGCGAGAGAGGGAGCTGACGGCTCTGAAAGGAGCACTGAAGGAGGAAGTGGCTGCTCATGACCAGGAGGTGGACAAGATGAAAGAGCAGTATGAGAAGGAAATAAGCCGGCTGCAGATGTCTTTAGAGGAAGCCAAGCAGGTAATAATCACCTGTGTTCTCTCTCTCTCTTTTTCTCTCTCTCTCTCTCTCTCTCTCTCTCGTCCGCCTGTTTGTAAACTGAGCACGCTTCATAATAACATAAAGCGTGCATGTGATGTATTACGACGTTATGTACAAGAGGTAATAGTGCTTTAAGGCACAGTTAGTCCTGGCCAGTGTGACCGCGGGCGGTGCCGGCCAGCGTGGGATTGGCGCAGCGGGGGGCCAATCGTGCTCGAGTACGGCACGGTACAGATGGCCAGTGTGACCGCGCCCTTAGATTCTGGTTTTATAACACACAGGATGAACTGCATCTAGGATCAGTTTTGCATTTAAAATCAGTTGCACCTTATTTCTGTGAAAGGGAAAGGATGGGGAAGAGGTTTCTTTTTTTGGCTGTAGAATTAAGGATCAACATAAGAATTACTGAGCTGAGTGAAACAAGAATTTTTAAGACTTGAAAACAAGCAATTTACAACATCATCATCATCCAATAGCATGCAATATACAAACTACTGTTTAGTCTCCTGGGCCTTCATTTATCAACAGTGTGTATGCACAGATGTGTGTGTAATGAGTGTGTAAGAACAGTCTCACACATAGAGTGGCATTTATTAACTTGTACTTATTCTTAGTAATGTGTGTAAATTTAAGCACAGCTCTGATCAGGCTTACGAACTGAATCTAGTGGTAGAATAGTGAAACTACAAGTAGAGACAGAAAGTATTACAAGTATCACAGCATGCAGTAATCAATCTCAGCTTCCAGGTATGTTCTACGCTTCTTTTAATAATAATAAAAAACAACCTCAATCTCAGAGGTTGTCCCGACACGTTGCCAAATTGGTGTCAATACTATAAAAGACAGCTGTGACAAGCATTTGATATGTGGCACATGGCTCATCATACCTTATTTGAACAACCCTGATGTTTGGCCCAGCTAGTTCTGTTGGTAATGTGTCACTGCCTTCTCCCTTGATATTCCCAGAGAGAGCTGTGTCATTGATGATTCTGGCAAGACGGTGTCCAAGGGTGAAAATCTTGTGTTACTCTGTCATCCTCCTTTAGCAGATGTTTCCTGCTTGTATGTGTTATAGTTTTGCACTGAGCTTATAAACAAACGACTTCTTCTTGATTTCTGGCAGTGATCTCTCCTCTGATCCAACAGAATTCATTCTGCAGAGCTTTGAGATTTGTTTCAAATGAAAAGTGTGTTAATTATAAAATATGATTATAATTATTGTTATAGAATTTACAGCATTTGTTGCCTTCACATATTATGTAGTATGTTTTCTTTTATTAACCCCGACATTAAGTGAACTTTGTAACTTTGTTTGGTACTTTTTTTCAATTTAAATTCGACATCAACCTAACTTAATTTCGGTTGCAGTGAAGTTTATTTTCTTTGCTATTAATACGGAGGTAAAAAAGATTTTTTGGCGTTTTGGAATACAAATGACCCCGAACACGCATGAGCCTTCTGGTTATTAACATGTGGGATTTATCAACAGCTTTCCATGATTTGATATTCATAGAGTTTTTCCGACTAACCTATTAAGATATCTCCTTGATAATACACAGATTTTTAAAATTTGACAAGTTGAAGGTTTCATGCATATTTACTGTGCAAGTCATATGAGCGGTTCCTCTCATTGTTGTTCAGGCTTTCAGATCAATGGCATGATTAGTTTTTGTAAAAACGGTGGTTCAGCATTAGACAGGATCTTTATCTGCAGTTAGAATGTTTTTTCAGAAACAAAGTTCACACCTGAGTCAGGTGTGTGTGTGTGTGTGTGTGTGTGTGTGTGTGTGTGTGTGTGTGTGTGTGTGTGTGTGTGTGTGTGTGTGTGTGTGTGTGTGTGTGTGTGTGTGTGTGTGTGTGTGTGTGTGTGTGTGTGTGTGTGTGTGTGTGTGTGTGTGTGTGTGTGTGTGTGTGTGTGTGTGTGTGTGTGTGTGGCAGCTTGTCATCATTTTTTCATGGGAAGTCTCAGTCAAGTGTGGAGGTGTTTTCTTATCTCAGCCTGGCCCTCGAGGGTGTAACGTTTTACAGGAAGAGGGGTGTTTGATGATACATTTAGAGACAGTTATCAGTGTATGTAATTGTGAGGAGTTGCCTGTATTGTAGCTTTTTTTGAAAGTTCCAGTTAGTGACCTGTATAAACTCTGTTTTTGTTACAAGAACAAATCTTGAACTTCTGAACAGTTGAATGTCCTAGTGCCCTTGGTCTTTTAAAGTACTCTGATTCTGCACCATTGATGAACCCTTCAGTATGTAATGATAGATTTTACATGAATTTCCTCTGGAGAAGGAAGTGTTCACCGGCTGTGTGTTTGAAAAAATGAAAGGAAGTTTAGTTAAAATGAGACGACTTGTGGTGCGTGGCAGGAGCCGGCACACTAAAAGGACTTAAGACACGTTGTTTTTCTGCAGGTTGCTGTGTGACTCACGTGTGTCCTGTTTGTCTAAAAGCCTGGAAGTTCTCCTTGTTCTGGACTTCCTGCAGACTGGTGGGGGTCCACATGCAGAAGTACTCTGCTGCAAGAGCCTGTAAGAACATTTCCATTGTCAAACAGAGGTACTGCTCCCCCGAGGGAGCATGTTGTTAGGGGTTTACCCACTGTCCTTTGTAAAATCTTGTAAAGATGAGGTCATTGTTTGTTCCCCTTTACAGATATAAAAGGGTTCTCCTGGTGGGGCCTTTTGTTGATGTTGATGTTGATGATGAATTCATGTTGTCTGCTCAGGTTAGACTTCATGATAGATTTGTACGTTACGAAGACTATCATTTTAAGGCCTGGTGGTTTTGTTGTGTGCCCCATGCATGGAGGCTAAAGTCCTTATCCCAGCAGCAGTGGGTTCGAATCTGACCTTGGCCCTTTTCTTGCATGTTGTCCCCCACTCTCTCCTCCCAACACTTCCTGTCTCTCTTCAGCTCTCCAATCAGTAAAGGCAAAAGGGCCAGAAAAAAACCTAAACCTTTATCTTAAATGTATCCATACAGTTGCACTATTGACGCTTTACCTACATTTATACATGAGGTTTGCGTCAGGGCAATAAGTTAACATGATGATTTCTACACAGTAAGAGCTTTTGAAGCATATTGTTAATACATTGTTGTGCTTATTAAGGCTTTCTGTGTAATAAAAATACACAGTGTAATTGGCACAAACATCAGAACAAAAAAAAAAAAGTAAAGCTAAATTAATACGAAGGTGTTTGAAGTGCCTAGTTTTCACAGCATGTGGGTAGTAGGCTGAGCAACTGGCTTTGAGAAAGTCACACAGTAAAAGGGAAAACCGCTAATTATCTCATGTTCACTTCTACTTTGTGTGGGGGTGTCAAACAGGGAAAAGAGGGCCAAAGTGAACAGTGCATCTTCTGCCCCACCTCCAACAAAAGTGCTGCCCCCCCCCCCACCCCCTTTAGCGGCCCTGACATTTGTGGTGACCAAAGCAGCCTATGTGGAGAAGAATGCAGTAAACTGGAGCACTGAGTTGCTCTGTATACTTGTTAATTGCAGTGGCAAGCCATCACTAATCTAATGAGGTGCTGTTCCTGAGTTGCGTCGTGCACCCTCTTCTTTCTGTGCCCTGAGAGAAAGTGGGGGTAATTGTGGACCTCAGTTGATAATGAATGATGAGTTTGTTTCACACAATAATAGCAGCGGGGGTTGGGACATGCTGAGTAAGTGGGTCAGTGTGCTCTAGAAAAGGGGATGCGTGGCTGACCCCCTGAAAGGAGCTGGGGGCGGGGCCTGTTTTGTGTCTTCAATTGAAAGCTGCATTGTTTTTTCAGTGAGCTGAAAATGTGTGGAATTTCATCAAGGCTGACAAAAAGTTGGTCACACTTTCTGGGAAAGATATGAATCTGCTTCTTTTTTTTTTTTTTAGTTCTTGCTCTTCTGTAACAAAAGATGTATGCACAGTTGGAAGTGGACTTGATGTTTATGTGTCAGAATGTGCTGGTATGCAAAGCATGTAGGAAGATGAGGTGCAGTGAGAAAAAAGGAAGGTTGTTTTCCAGGAATGTGGGGGTCAAAGTCGAGAATGTGCTCCCCGCAGACCTCCCTCTTCACTCAGCTCCAGCTCTGTTACAGTGCACCCGCTCTGACCTGCTGGGGAGGCTCAGATCTTTCCATTTCTGCCTGTTCAGGGTGCAGCAGTTGCACCTCCATCTCCGCAGAGCTCCAGATTCTGAGAGTTAGAGGCTTAAACTGGCTCGTCAAACCTCACTGTTAGGACAGAGCCTTTTGCTTATCAGTCCATTTCCAGCTCTAGTTATGTTTCACCTCCAGCCTGAAGTCACATTGTGTAACAGGGCCATATTGTTATCACGCTCTCATCTCTAACCTCAATCCCAAACTCTGAATTTTTCATTTCTCCACTCCACAGTCTCTAGACAAGACTCTGCAGTGATCATCCACTCAGCTAAACGCCTGTGTCACTACTGCCTGCCTGTCGAGTAATCTCAGCCAGCGTGTGAAGCGAAGTCTCACTGTCTGATCATCAGACTTCCGTAGCCCTGAGAAGAGTTCCCCCTCAGGCTTGTTTTGAAAGTAAATACTCCTGCATGAGTCTGCTTGTTTGATGATAGCACTATATTTCCTAGCGTAGAATTAGGAGCTGATTTAGCAGGTAGCTGGAAAGAGGAAGATGGAGAGGCAGGGCAACAAGTGAAGAAGGAAATGATGGAAAGAGATTCTGAGTTCTTACAAAAACACCAAGGAATGAGCCGTTTATATATGTTTTATAACTTTTACTGTAGGTTGTCAAATAGCTTTAATGATAACTTCATTGACAGATTGATGAAACTAAAGACTCTGATGAACAGGAACTAAATACAGTTAAATAAAGTTTATTCTGAAATGTTCCTGTTTAGGGTCACAGCCACATGAAACCAGACAGCACTGAATTTTTGTGTTTGTTGTTCCTTTACCTGGCTGCCTGTCAGCGCTGGTGTTGTGGGTGCCTAATCTTCCAAAACAACTCTCCGGACTATAG